TTATTATTATTATTATTATTATTATATTTATTTATAATTTATACCCCAAAAACATAAAATATGAACTTTTTCAATAATATTTCTTTCTTATTTTTTCTTAATTTTTTTTTCTATTGCTCATTCTTTAGAAGAAAAAGAAATTATTGTCTTAACAAAGATTCTTTTATTAATAAATATTTATTTAATTATTTAATCTCATTGAACCAACTTTTATAATATGCACTTATTTTTTAGTATTACCTATTTATAAATATTTAAATAAATCCTTTTAAAAAAATTATTACTCAAATATAGAAAATTTAAAGAAGTTAAAATAGAGATTATAATAATTAAATGGTATATTTTTTATTAAGATATTAATGAGAAATATATATTTTAAGAAAATAATTAGAATAAAATAAAATAATTCTATAAAGCTTCACTTTCTTTTATAAATCATATTAATTGCAAAATTAACTTCTATAGTTATTGCAAAATATTTAATAAAATAGTTAAAAATTGCTGGTAAGCTATCAAATTAATAAAATTTTATAATTCAAGACTTAAAAAAAAAATGAAATTTATAAATATTGAAAACTAACCTTAATAAATTTCTATTAAATTTTAAAAAACAACAAAAATAAGAAAATAATATAATTTTCTCTAAAAATGCAAAACTTACAAATAATAAAAAAATGTTCTATCAAATATTTAATAAAAAGAAATATTTTAAAAGAATAGAAGTTAAGCATTACATTTAAAAATATATATTAATTTAGCTCATAATTTTTAATTTTTAATATAAAAAACAATAAAAATAAAATAAAAACTAAAAAAAAAGGACATCAAATATATATTATATGATAGATAGCTTAATCATTCAAAAAAAAAAAAAAAAAAAACCATTTCTCAACAAATTTATTTATTTAAAATTATATATGAATAATCAATTAAATTTTCTTTATCATATTTTCTAGAATTTCTCCATGCATTATATTTAAATTTTTTTTCACATTTTATCTTTTTTTCCTAATAAAAAGGTTTTAATGAAAAATTCATGATGGAAGACTATGCATCAAATTATTTTTTTTTAAATATATAAACAATTATTTAAATTAATGAAAATTAGCATAAAATTTTTTTTAATCAGATTTATTTTGCAAAATAAAATAAATTTTTTTTTATAGAATACTCTCTTTAGATGTTATGTTAGACAAAAACAATGTTACTCCAAGTTTAAATATTTTTTTATAGAATACTCTCTTTAGATGTTAGACAAAAACAATGTTACTCCAAGTTTAAATGATTCAAAAATTTGAGAAAAAATAGATTCAAACAAAAAATTCACATGCTAAATGGTTCTCTTATTGTTTGTTTTAAGGGTTATTTAATTTGTTGAAAATGAAATACAATATAAAAAATTTGCAGAGCATTATGATTACAATATATTTGAAATATTTTCGAGTTATGTTGTTCATTACAAAATAAAGGCAAGTCTTTATAATTTTTTTTCTTGGTTTTTCAAAAAATATATTTTTTTGTTTGGCGGCAACGGGCAGCTTGCAGGTGGCAGACAGCACTAGGTTGGTGGCGGCGTAGCATCCAGTTGACAGCTACAGGTGTGGAGTGCGGCCGACAACGGGAGGATGGCAGGAGGCGGAGGCGTGGGGCGACGACTTGCCTATACCATTTTACATGAACGGTGTGATTCAAATTCAACCCAAATAAACTACTGTGTAAACTTTAAATTCATTCATATTTTACATTATATTTGTAATTCTTCATATCAAAGACTTAATTTTCTCTAATCCCTGCCAAAGTATTTCAATGCACCACAAATTCACCCAACCAAACAACCCCTAAATATCAACCAAATGAAAAAAATTAACATATGAGACCTTTAGTATTCTACTAAACCTCAACAAATTATATCATAATTAGGGACAATTTAAATGCAACAAATGATAATCATCCTTAATTTTTTGCCATGCCACAGTCAACAAAATACAACAATCCTATTAGATATGTTAGGAGTCTTTATATACCAAGCACCTAAAATATTCAATATGATATATCAACCATCAAAACTTTAAATATAACATTTTAAACCGATATATAAAACACCATTTTATGTATTTAGATATTTAACACATAAACTTAAATATATAAAAGTTTAGGGGTTAGATATGTAAATACATAAGAATAGTGTGGTATATGTAGGTAAATTTCTCTATCAATATTTAGATTAATAAGAATCCATAAATTCATAAAAAGGAACTTTTTTTTTTTATTATAATCCAAACAGACCCACTAATTCGAAAAAATATTCCGTCGTCAGCACGTCCCAACGGCCAAACACCGGCGGCCATGTCCCCCGCCGTTCATGTCTATGGCGACATGATCGGACGTGCCTGTGGTGTCTGAACGGAATATTTTCTGCACTTATTAAGACCATTTCATGAACAAACAATTAGAGATGCAAATTACAAACAATTTGCTTTTTTTACAAACAATTAGAGATGCAAATTACAAACAATTTGCACAAATGTCTTTTTTGCAAAACAGGAATTTAGGTAAAAACAATTACCAATGAACCAAAAACCATATTTCCACATACGCAGATCGGACCTTCTGCGTATATTTGCTTTTCTGCCATCTCTGTGCTCTCTATTCACAGGTGGAGATGCGGGACGCATCGATGAAGCCGCCGAGCACGCGGCAGCCCAACTCCATCAATTTTCCTGCTTTATTATGGATTGAAATGTAATATCAGAAGTTTTCGTTTTGAAAAATTATTCCATACATGTATGTAATATTGAAATATATGCGGTGTCAGATCTAATGTATGTAATATTGAAATATATGCGGTGTCAGATCTCCACCGCTCATCATACTACATCAAGTTTCTTTTTTTAAAAATAAAAAAAAGGAAAAAAAAAATGAGGCCCACTGAAATACAACTTTTATTGTGATGAACAGTCCAGATCGGACATTGCATGCATCTCTACATGCTGTGTCCGTATGAAATACAATTTTTCATGTATAACTTTATCATATTGATGTAAATATGAAAGTTTGGCATAAGATATATGTAATTATATAAAAAAAATGTGTGATATGTATGTAAAGTTTCACTAGATAGAATTGAAATGTGGGTGGCAAAATAAAAAAGCAGAGAATTATCCAAACAGAGAAAAAAATGGACTTTAAATTAGAAGTCTAGAAAAAATTTAAAAAAAAACATTTTAAATTAAGATAAAGCTAATTACGTCTAAGCTTTATTCTATTTATCATATATGATTTCTCATTATACATAAATTATTAGAAGATATACTTGTACTATATATCTAAATATCCATAAATTTAATTGTATTATTTAATAGTTTCATTATATTTATGTTCTAAAATTAATTAAATTATCCGATAATTTAATAATATCATAAAAGTAAAATTAGATTCTTATATATCCATATCTAATATTTTAGATTCATAACACAAATTAAAGACTATTAAAATTTAATTTTAAAATAGTAGAAAATTATTTTGACAATTTTATATGGCATTAAACTAGCTCTATGAAAATTGTCAAAGATTATTTTAACACTTTGCTCATATTATAAATGAGAATATCAAATTTAAAGATTTAAATAATATATAAGAATTATGTGGTGCTTATATAATTGTTTATAAACGAGTTACTTGGATCTATTCCAGCTCGAAATCAGCTCGAACTTGGCTAGTGAGTCATTATATTCAATTTTACTTAACATTATATATATAAGGTCTGTTTTGGGCAACTGCATGTTATTAAAAAATGACTGTGAAATTACTGAAAAATAATTTGATGTTAAAAAAATTGCAGTGATTATTACAATCATTTTTGTTTTGAACAAAATCAAACCGCAGCTAGAAAGTTACCATTACACCTAGCGCGGACTAGTGCGAAAATGCGGCAGCTTTTTGTAAAAATTGCTAACACACAGTTTGCCAAAACAGACAAAACTGCAGTGCAGTACCGCACCGCCATCGCACCACCGACTCATATGGATCCATAGTTTTTATAAATAAAACTACAACGAGCTAATCTTGAGTCAATTCGAGCCGATTCATGTATGGCTCGAAATCAGATAGAAAAAAAACTTGCTCTAAAGTTCAACTTATAGCTCGGATCATTTATTTTGATCAAATCACGATCCTAACCAAGGTTCGATTCAATTTTAGGATTAACAATCTTAGAGCTAAATTCAAGGTCCTATAAATATAGGTGACTAAAAAAAACGCCACTGACACTTGAAATTAAATTAAAATAAAAACAATTTTTGGTATCCAATGACCTAGAGGTCAATACGGCCGTCAACTCGTAGAACTAAAGAGCTCATAAAGTCGTCTAACCTAGCCGGAATATTCCATTTCCGGCGATCGGAAACCAGTAAGCAAAACCACATTGCAAAAAACTAATTCTAAACAGAATACGCACCTCGGTTGCGCTTGGAAACTGCGTTTCTGGACACACGAGCAGCCTTCTTCCCGCCACCGAAAGCCGGCGCCGGAGAGTCATCCTCCGGCGGGAAAAGCACAGTATCGATCCCTTGCACCGAAATCCTCCCGTCTGTGTATATATCCGGATCAAACAGATAAGCGGAACCCTCTCCCTGTCCAAACTTCACCGATCCATCAGCTTCCCTTGCCACAATCTTGTGCGGAAGCCTGAGCGTATCGTAACGCACTTTCCCAAAGCGCCGAACGGCATTATACATGCTCTCCTCTGTTTGATACTCCGGGATCAAATGGTAGTTGATAATATGCTCCGGCGAGCCGGGTTCACTGAGCTGATCGGGAGTGAGTTTTGCCATGGCTTCATCGTTTGGTGCGAGAACGGTGAGGACATAGCCCTCGGAAACCAACCGGCCCATCTCGGTGGCGAGGGAGGTGAGGTTGACTAGAATGTCGGCGAATTCATTGTACCCGCCGTAGAGAATTAGGGTTTGGATGAAATCTTTGATCTGGCGGTGGCCGTCGAACCAGTGCTTGCCGGATCCGGGGCCGGGAGCTGGAGCTGGAGCAATGTCGGGACCGGGAGCGATGGCATCGTAAATGGGAAGCGCGGGAGGGGAGCCTGCAGGGGATGAAGGAGCAGGTTTCTTAAGCCGGTGGGTTCGAGGGTCGACTTCTGGAGCGCCGGAGGGGAGAATGGCGGAGATTTCAGCAAGGTTTCGCCGGCGATTGAAGTCCTCTTGTACAGATCTGGGAACGAGAAGGCGATCGATGCCGTGGATGATGCCGTCGGGGCGGAGGATGGAGTCGGGGTGTACGATGCCGGCAAGATCAGCGTGGTGGAGGCCGGATTTGGAGGAGGAAAGGATAATCTGGTCTCCAGAGAGAGTGCGGTAGCGAGCGGAGGGGAAGGAAACGTAGGGAATGCGGGAAGGAAGGAAGTGGAAGAGAAGAAGGGTTTGAAGTGACTTGAGGTTGCCTGGTTCAAAAATAAAGCGTCTGAAGTCGGGGTCGAGATCGCGTTCTAGGGCTTCATTGCGAGGGGCGAAGATAGTGAGGTTGTGGCGACCAACGGCGTCCTCTAGGGTTTGTAGAAGGAGAGCCTTCTCCACCAACTCCGCAATCTCGGTGTAATGGGAGTCGAGGAGAGCTACCAGGACAGAGTTGGAGTTGATCGGTCCACCGGAGGTTGTAGGGAGAGTGGGAAGTGATGATAATGCCGGCGTGATTGAGAGGAGAAGGAAGGCGGCTATGAAGGGAAGGAGGAAAGAGGGAGGAGTAAGTGTGGAATCCATGGCTATAAGCTCTGTTTTGCTTTCTCTCTCTTACCCTCCTGCCCGTTCAGAGCATGCAGACGAGGGAGGCCAGGTAGGTTAAGAACTGAGAAACAGGTGTATA